CTATGAAGCTGCTCACAGCGTTGTTCTAAAGAGAATTGATTCCTTCCTTTAAAACAACGCTGTGAGCAGCTTCATAGCGATGAGTCATGGTAGAAAACCTGGGAGGACATCCATTACTTCATCTTCTTGCTTCATTTCTACCCAAGGTCCTCACTGTCAAACAAATCCCCAAGGAGGAGGGTTAAATTCAATCGATGGAAGGAAAGATCGTGTTTTGCCTCGAAGGCACTTTTTTGTTGTCAGTTTTCCTCGTTGCTTGACCCCCTCCCTCCTTCTTTTGATGGTCTGCGAAAAAATTTACTGTATCTGACAGCTGATTGAAACCCTCTGTCTTCACTCCTCCGCACTGCACAGCTGGAGGTTACTGACAGAGAGTTTCCACACCTTTGATAATGCGCCTTGCTTCTACATCTTTGTCATGCATGTTGACTGGTAATAAAATTTAAAAATATGATAGCCAATACCATATGTGAAACAGCGGCAACAATTCTGTGCAAATAGCGGCTTTGCTTCGTTCTCGGTGAGCTTTCCTCGTTCGTGGACGTACGCATAGAGTTCACCACCACCCGCATATTCCAGCACCAAATGTGTCCTCGTCAATGTTTCCACACACTATAAACTTGAAAGTTGCTGTGAACCTGGAAATTGAAGGCAACATCTGGAAGTCACCTCGAACAACCGTATAATATTCGGGTGATGCATTCGTTCCATGGCTTTAATTTCTCGTTCGAGTAGTCGCTGTGCTTTTGTGTCCATTTTCGTTCGATCCATAATTTTCACCGCTACTTTTTCTGAAGATTTGTGGAGATATGGTATAATGCACAACAAAGCCGATATTGCGATTTTTTCAACTCTCGGTAGAAGAGTCCTTAGGTGCGAGAATCATACTCTATATATAAAGCAGAAGTTGTCTGTCCGTTTGTCGGACCAATAGGAGAATAGGCTCCGCCCACAATGGGCGGGGCCTATATTTAGCTGAGCGGTGTCACGGACGTAATCTCTTGAAAACGTTGTCAACAAAACTCTTAAACGCCGTCAACTTTGGGATGGGGGTGAGGGCATGTTGAAAATATACCGAATACACACAAACTAGTTAGCCTCGCACACAATAGACGGGTGCACCGAAGTGAGT